AACATTTCCCAACTCCAAGTTGCTCAGCCTTGTTCTGTGGTAGCAGGGAGAATGAAGCAGTGGCTGTGGACATGAGCTTGTGTGTGTGTATGTGTGCGCGTTCTTGTACATCTATGCTTTCTGTGCATGGGTTTCTGCACATGCTGCACATGTCGTGTTTAGAAATATGTGTACGTCTGCGTGGGCCAATGTGACTGTGTGCCTCCTTCAGCACGTTCCTGCAGAATCTATATACATGATATACGTTATATATATAATGCTGTGGTCCCCTGTCCCAGGGCATGGACAAGTACTGGTCTGTGGCCCATGACGAACAGGGCCCCGCAACAGAGGAGAGCAGCTGGCGAGGGAATGAAGCATCGTCTGTATTTACAGCTGCTCCTGTTCACTCACATCACCACCAGAGATCTTCCTCCTGTCAGGTAAGCTACGGCATTAAATTCTCACAGGATCGTGAACCCTACTATAAACAGTGCGTGTCAGAGATCTAAGTCCCATGTGCTTTTTATGAGAATCTGGTACCTGATGATCTGAGGGTGGAGATGTGATGCACTTGAACCATCCCCAAACCCTCTTCCCACCCTGTATCCACGGGAAAATTGTCTTCCGTGAACCTGGTTCCTGGTGTGACCATCGAAATGCACATTAGAGTGAGTAAGGGTTGTGTGTGACTGTGTGTTGGGAGGTGCTTGGCATGCTAAGTTCTTTCCCTTCTAGGGCTGGGAAATGTCTGATGTCTGGCTCCAGGAGGAAAGGGATTCAGCAGACTGAGACAGAGCCTGGGTCCCACTAGCCTTTGCAGTCCCCTTCTGATTCCCCAGCCCCCACCTCCACCTCCCTCTGGGCCTGGGCCCTGGTCTCACTCGGGTACTCACAGGGTTTTGAGGCCACCGAGGCCACGGAACATGCGCCCGTGCATGGTCTCCAGCTGGTTCCCCGTCAGCATCAGCTCCTGCACGCTGGCCGCTCCGTCAAAGGCGCCCTCTCGCACTTCCTTGATCTTATTGTTACTCAGGTTTCTAGAGGGAAGGGGAAGAGTGGGGGAGAATCAGGAGAGCAGAGGGTCAGTGTGCAGACAGGGAGCTACCAGCTCCGCGGCAGCGGGGACATTCAGGGGCCCTGTACTACAGATGGTTTTGGGGGGAAGTTCAGTCTTGGGCTCTGTGACATTTGGTCTTTAGCCAAATGTGCCCAGGGAATGGGGACCCTCGTCCCACACAGGGGTTGCTGCCTTTCCAAAATGGACTGCATGGTCAAAGAGAGTGGATATAGAAAATTTGGTATACATACACAATGGAACACTATTCAGCCACGAAAATGAATGAAATCCTGTCATTTACGGCAACATGAATGGAAGCAGAGGTCATGATGTTAGGTAAAACAAGCCAGGCACAGAAAGACGACTGTCACATGTTCCTGCTCACACAGGGAGCTCAAAATGTGGCTCTTATGAAGTGAAGAGTAGAGGGATGATTAGCAGAGGCCAGGAAGGGTGACGGGGTGAGGAGACACTGGTTCATGGGTACAAACATACAATCAGACGGAAGCGTAAGGTCTAGTGCTCTGTAACCCAGCAGCATGACTACAGTCGACATATTGTGCATTTCAAAATAGCTAGAAGAGGAGATTCAGTTCTCAACACAAAGAAATAGTAAAGGCTTGAGGTCGTGGGTGTCCTAAATACCCTATTATACCCTGTACATGCATCAAAATATCACACGCACCACATAAATATGGACAATTATTATGTATCAACAACAAAAAAATAGACTGGATGAGATCTGAAGTTTTTTTCTGTGTAATTGTCTTTTCAATGTCCTTGGGGACTGGTAGATTTAAAATAAAGATTCTCAAATTTATTTTCTCTATTTAATAGATATTGTCATTAAGCGGTGATTCTCAAGAAAAATTTAATGTGTGCTCCCCATTCCTTGGAGCAGGGCATGTGTGGAACATTTAGCTCTTCTGATGAGCTGAGAAACTCTAATCTAAGGATAAATGGATGCTTTCTAGTCACTACTTGTTGAATGATACCTATGTACTAGGTACCCTATGAGAGATCTGACAAACATAAACACATGAAACCCTCAAAAGAACAGCCAGATGTTACTACTGTCCCATTTTATGGATGAGAGGACTGAGGTTCGAAGGGATTAAAGAACTTGTCTATAGCCCAAGCTGAGAAAAATGGGATTTTAAGCCAGGTTTTCTGGCACATAAAAAGTGCCCCACTGGCTTAGTGTCCATAGCTCAGTGACTAGGGTGCCAGCCACATACACCAAGGCTGGTGGGTTCGAGCCCGGCCTGGGCCTGCTAAACAATGACAACTGCAACCAAAAAAATAAAAAATAAAAAATAAAAATAGCTGGGTGTTGGTGGGCACCTGTAGTCCCAGCTACTTGGGAGGCTGAGGCAAAAGAATTGCTTAAGCCCAAGAGTTGGAGGTTGCTGTGAGTTGCAACGCCATAGCATTCTACTGAGGGTGACATAGTGAGACTGTTACCAAAAAAAAAAAAAAAAAAGTTCCTTCTTTGATTTTTTTTTTTTTTTTTTTTTGGACAGAGTCTCATTCTGGCCCTCATCATAACCCTGATCTCCTTCCCATCCTGCCAGCTAGTAACTAGAACTGGCATCATAGCTCACAGCAACCTCAAACTCTTGGGCTCAAGCAATCCTCCTGCCTCAGCCTCCCAAGTAGCTGGGACTAGAGGTACCCACTACAACACCTGGTTAGGTTTTCTATTTTCAGTAGAGGCAAGGTTGTGCTCTTGCTTAGGCTGGTTTTGAACTCCTGATCTCAAGCAATCTACCCACCTCTGCCTCCCAGAGTGCTAGGATTATAGGTATGAGCTACCGGCCCTGGCCTGAACCTCTTCTTTTTCCTTTGGTGATGTGGTTATTCCCTCCCTTATATGACTGCTCTGCAGAATTCAAGAGTTGGGATTCTGTGATTTCTTAATGTGAGCTTGGCAGTTCCCAAGCCTTCAGTGTGGCCATTTCTGATTCTGCCCCATGGTCCAAGAGCAGGCCCTTCCCCTCTGCCCAATGCTGACACAATGCCACAGTCCTCACAACAGATCTGAACAGCAGGCAGATCCCAGGGAGCTGTCAGCACTGTGAGTTCCTAGTTTTCTCTGGTTGGTGGGGACAGGGGCTCCCACGGATCACCCGCATTTCTAGGCCTGAAAGGCCTCCCTGGCTGGTGGTTAAACCAAAGGTGATAGTGTTTAAGCAAGCTGAGGGAGAGCCAAACAGCCTGCTCAGGGCCACGTCCAGGGAACTGGCTTCTGCAAACAGGGACGTCATGTGGTGGTGACGGTGGGGGGCAGAGTCTGCTAACTTGTTGGGTACACGGAGGCTGTTAGAATGGGCGGCCTCACAGACATAGAATAGGTACCCCATTTTACTACAGGGGGATGTTGAGGCCAAGGGCCATAGGGCACTGCCGGGGACCACACCAAGTCCCTATTATGAGCTCTGGGCTGACCCATACCAACCTCTAGGGGTGAAGCCTTCCCTGGGGACTGGCTTGGCGCAAGTGACAGAACAAGAGCACTTGCTCCATGCAGGCCACCTTCCATTCCCAAAGAGGCACCAAGCTCTCAAGGGGAGGCAATGCCTGCACTTGGAGTGGAAAAAACGTCATCTGTTCCCTCTCTCTCCCTCGTCATGGCCCTGATCTCCCCTCCTTCCCGTCCTGCCAAGAAAACATGAGTGAACACTGGAGAATCCCTCTCCTGAGGCTCGGGGGAGTCAGGAGACTCCTAAACTGGATTTCCACTCTTTCCTCTCCTGAAACTCAGCCAGTTTTCTTACAAATCCTGGTAGCCTTGGTCTGGTCTTACCCACGACTGAGGGGAATGCTCTGGGGAGACTGCAAATTACCCCCAAATTAGACATGGGAGAGAGATAAAGGTTCTCCCCAGCAGCTATAACTCACCCAAATGCTGGAGGAGAAGGATTCTGCTCCAGAGAGCTGGGCTTCTTGGGGGATTAAAATACAAGGGCCGTGCAATGAAGATGAGTTAGAGTAGCTATGAAGGGGGAGGGTTGCCATTTCCTGACATCTGTTTCTTTAAATGAGCAAAATTAACATCACATTACTGTACAGTTTGTGAATTGGATTTCCCCAGGCTGGGAGAATGGAAAACAGAAGGAGAATAAAAAGAGGGGATAGAATTTTCCAGAAGAGCCGGCTGCTGCTCTCTCTCCATCCATCAAGGCAGCAGCTGGAGGACAGGGAGGCGTGTGGGCGAGTGCTCCAGAAGCAAAACGAGCACATAGGTGTGAGAGCCGTGGCACGTTTTCAGGGCAGTGTCTACCAACAATACCCCGGATTCCAGGAAACCCCCAAACAAGAAGAGCCACCAGAGAGCCTCTCTTCATCTCTGTCTTTGCAGACTTGCCTCAAGGAAAACTGTGGCCTCATGGCTCTGATTCTGAGGATGGGGAAGCCTTATACCTAAGGGGACCAGCCACGAAAACTCCCATCCCAGGCCCAGGGTCAGTGCGGAGGGGTCTCAGCCCTGCTCCCACTGTAAGTGGCCTGTTGTGCCTTTCAGAGCCTCCTCGCACTGTTTCCAAGACAACTTTACAGGCTGGAGGATTCACCTGGTTGCCCCTGGAAAGCCCAGCGTCCACAAAGTAAGCCTTGGCCTCTGCCAGGTCCGTGTCACTTCTGGACTGTAGGCCGGCCTAGTAGCTCTGGCAGTAGGGAAGGAGCCCGGTCCCATATGGAAATGCAGAGGGGAGAGAGCTACATGGATATTTCTGGAAACAGGGGCCACTGAGCCATGACTGGGCATGTGCTCTGGCACACCGTCAGGGTGGGGGGGTCCTGTCTACCCTTTTATGGGCCTCTCCTTACCCCTCCTAGAAATTCTATTTCAAGCTGGGGTTGCAAGCTCGAGTGTCCACAGGGCAGTGACTTAAGGGTGACCAGAAGCAGGTTCAGTGGGGATGAAGATGACCAACAAACGCGTGTCCCAGCCAAAGGGGCAGCTGTTCCTCAGCTCAGTTCTACTGGAGCAGTACTGCTGGGTCATTCCAAAAGATACCAGAAATATGGATTTATTTTTTTCTATGAAAACAAATTTTTTAAAAGTAGACAGCTAACTTTTTAAAAACACCCTTTTTATTATAATAAAGCACCATTATTATTAAACCACAACCAATAAATCCAACTGTATGCACCTAATTTTGGCCAGAGGACTGCCAGTTTTCAGCCTCTGGTTGAGATTTTTCCTTAGCATAAGAACCCATCTGGAAGTTCACTGAGAGAGGCCACCAAGGTGCTCTGAAAGTGACACCATTTGAAACGCTGCATTAAGTTGCCATAGAACTAATAACCCTTTGCAATAACCCAGCACGTGCTTTAGTCTGCATCCCTGAGCGTGTGATACTCATGGGACTCCCTAGGCCAGTGGTTCTCAACCTTCCTAATGATTTGGCCCTTTAATACAGTTCCTGTGGGTCGCGATCCACAGGTTGAGAACTGCTGCCCTAGGCGGACAGGCTCAGCTTCATTATTCCAGTTGGACAGCTAAGTGCACGGAGGTCCAGAAAGGCACCACAGAGTCCGACCACCTGGCTCAGTTCACTCTCCTTTACCCACACACCAAATAAGATCAGATTCAAGAGCAGGTAACTGCAGGGCCCTAGCCCCATGGTCTTTGAAGTAGCTTGGCAGGTGCAGGCCTGGGAGTAGTTGGCTTTAACCTCTTTGCCAAGCAGAAATCCAGAGTGACCCACCACCTCCATGGAAGTCTAGGGGTGGTGATGGGTCCCAGCGCACAAAGATCTTTCCTTTACTTGACATTAAAAGTTGCTATCAAGTAATTTTAAATCACTAGTTGCAGCTGGTGGCCTTTAGGACTGGATTTGCCCCATTATGTCATGTGGTAGGCTGGCTAGTCCTGTATATAGAGAGTTATGAGCACAGGGACACACACACTTACTGCCTTCGGGGGTGTGTGTACGAATCCCAGCTAATCTGCACTGTTGCCTTCCTGGCTCCTGCTTCTGCCACTTGACTTTTGACAAGTTGCTTTACTTTCTATGTTTGAGTGTCCTTATTAATAAAATAAAGCAGAGCCTTTTTGTTGTTCTTGGTGAGGGTTAAATGAATTACTATCAGTGTTAAATGAATCACTGGCACAGAGTGAAGAGCCCCATGCGTATTAGCTGCTAGCTGTTATTATTTTCGTGGCCTTGCATTCAGCCACTTACCACATTTGTGCTACTCCAGGGCTGCTCAAAGTATCTGAGTATGCAATGTCTGTTTTTTAATTTTTTAAATTTTTATTTTTTTCTTTTTATTTTAGATGAGTAAGAGGGTACAAATGATTAGGTAACAATGTTTGCATTTGTTAGGTAAAGTCCTTGTTGTAGTTGTGTCCTGCACCCAGGAGGTGTGCCATGTACCCTTCCATTGTGTCCATTAGGTGTGAGCACACCCACCCCCTCAACTTGAATTGAGTCTTTCTCTTGTGTGGGAGTGTATTAGTTCATCTACTGGCTTCATATTAGTACTGAGTACATTGGACACTTGCTTTTCTACTCTTGTGATAATTTACTAAGAAGAGTGTATTTGAACTCTATCCAGGTTAATGCAAAATATGTAAAGCCCCCAACTTTTTATGGATGAATAGTATTCCACGGTATACATGTACTACACATCATGAAGTCGCAGCCCATTTTAAATACATGACCAGCCATACTTGGTCACTCAACCCAGATCCCCTCTTCTGTCTTCTTTCACCCTCTCTGCCCAGTATCATGTCTTCGGCCTTTATTTCCTCATATTTATTTCTGATCCTTATCAGAACTTACAAGGAAGATGGGTCTCTGTTACATAAGTGATGAATCTAAGGATCAGAAAGGCTGAGGACATTCCCAGGGTCACACAGCTGGGAAGGGCAGAGCTGCATTCAGAATGAACGAGGTCTGTCTACCTGCTTTTCTCCCACATCTGAATTTCCAGCTGCTCTTAAGAAATAGGAATATTTTTGGCAGCCCTTGACCTTTATTCTAGCAAGACAAACACTGGGACGAGCTGAGTGACATCTGCCCTTTTTGATGAGCTCTGGGACCACATTTTGCCACAGTCCCCACTATTCCCTTTTGTTTCTTGGTTGCTGAGGTTGGGAGTTGGGTGCAACTTCTCACGCATTTGTGTTACTGCTTTCCTGGACATACAGAAATAGTTTGGTGTACATGTCCCTATCAAAACTGGGAAGGTAAAGGATAGACCTGAAGTGCTTGAGTTTCATTTAAAATGGGAGAGTTCATATTTTGTCAGGGAAGCAAGACCACCTGATCCTGTTTACCAGGCAAATATGCCCTCGGCCAGTTGACTGGGGCAGGGAGCATGGCCCTGGCCCAGGACAAAGACACTAATGGCGCACCAACATTATTCTCATCATCTTACAACTTGGCCTGAACTCCTTGACAGGGAGAGGGTTAGTATGGTAGGCAGCCCTGGCAGTAGAGAAGCCACTATAAGCAGGTGGGCCCTTTGCCTAAGTCCAGCCTCTGGCCAGATCCAGGGAGCTGAGACTAAAACCGACTTTAAGAAGATGCTGGTGTTTTCACCGTGGTGTGCCTCACTGATATGGAGGCCTTTTGATTCCATCTGACAACTGACACCTTATGAGACCATGCCTCACTGCTGGCCCCTACCTGAGTCCCTTCCATTGCCCCTGCAGTAGACGCTGGATGGGGGCTGGGCGGAGGGGACATGGAATGGGGCCAGGGTGGTGTGGAACGCTTCCTTTGCTAACCCTAAACGGTTCCCTTTTTGTCTGCGACTTGGTGTCCGGCTTCCCCACAGAGGCTGTAGTGGGGCTCAGGAGGATACAGAGGTGGGTTAAAATAGAGGGTGAAGGAGCTGCCAGGGCCCTGGTTCCTCCAGTTTGGAACACACAGGCCAGCCAGACAGCAGAGGCTGCTGCCACGTGCCTACAGTTGACTCACATTTTCCGCAGGTTGGGCAACTTCTTGAAGATCCCAGTGGCCTCTAGAATAGATATCTCATTGTCGTTCAGTCGCCTGTGTGGGAAGCAAGAAGATGAGCTGGTGGGTCAGCTGTGGACAAGCCCTGCTCCTGCCACTGCCCCCTCCACCCTGCCCGTGGCTTCAGCTGAATGGCTGCCCTGACTTCACACTCAGCAAGGGTCCATAGACCATCAAAAACCTCAGTGTCGGGTGGTGCCTGTGGCTCAGTGAGTAGGGTGCTGGCCCCATATACCGAGAGTGGTGGGTTTAAACCCAGCCCCGGCTGAACTGCAACCAAAAAATAGCCAGGCATTGTGGCTGGCACTTGTAGTCCCAGCTATTCGGGAGGCTGAGGCAAGAGAATCACTTAAGCCCAGGAGTTGGAGGTTGCTGAGAGTTGTGACGCCACGGCACTCTACCAAGGGCGATAAAGTGAGACTCTGTCTCTATAAACAAAACAAAACAAACAAACCTCAGTGTCTGCCCCATCAGTGTGACAGGCCCAGCAGGGAGGGGAGGCGGATGTGGGTAGGATGGAAAAAGAAAGAAAATCAGCCTCAGCTTCCTCCTGGAGGAGACCCCTTTGACTAAGACTTTTTGAATATCCCGCATGGGCACGTGTGTTTTCAGCACCCACTCAACTGCCAAGGACCTGCCTTCATTTTGTGGGGGTACCAGTGAGAACTTGAAACCTTCAGGAAGTTTTTCCCCAGGGTCT